TTCGATTCACCACCTTAGGAGGCAACTACTGGGAGGCTTTCGTCGGAAGGAGTGAAGAGGATTAAGCCCCATTGGGGGGCTGTTAGGCCGGAGTGGGCCTCGGATTAAGCGGGATTAAGCGGGATCAAGCGGGATTAAGCCGGATTAAGCGGGATTAAGCCGGATTAAGCGGGATTTCGGACCAGGGCTAAATCAGAGTTTGACCTCCCAGGAGTTGCACCCGAAACCATCGATGCTGCAGGCGATCTCCTGCTCGAGGCATCCCGGTGCCTCCTTGCCCCTCGGAGCACCGCCGCGCGCCGCCCGCCGCCGAGGCCGCCGGCCGCCGCACCGAGCGGCTCCTGACCATAGGCTCGAGCTTTTGCCCGTGCCCCGAAGATTAGGTCGGGCACGTCCTCTCACAGGCGGGCCCTGGAGGGGGAAGAAGAATAAGAAGAAAAAGAAATAATATCCGCCGGCCCCCTTGTGGGGCCACCAGGCTGTAGGCGCGAGGTTCGCAGTTTCCTGTACCAGTTGTAGCTTGTAGTTTCCAGTGTTACAGTTCTGCTTCTTGCTGGTTACTGTAACTAGTTGACTTATTGCTGGTTACTGTAACTAGTTGATTGACCGCGCGAGGGGGGGGGAGGCCCAAACCAGATTTTTTAGCACCCCCTGGGCGCGTTGTCTGAATTGCTGGGGGGGCTCGAAATCGACACCCCTCACGCAGATCCGCGGGGTCAGGGTCCAAAAACACAGGGGATTTGCCACATTTCTGAAATTCGGTGCCACCCCTCACGCAGATCCGCGGGGTCAGGGTCAAAAACACAAGGGATTTGCCACATTTCTGAAATTCGGTGCCACCCCTCACGCAGATCCGCGGGGTCAGGGTCCAAAAACACAAGGGATTTGCCACATGTCTGAAATTCGGTGCCACCCCTCACGCAGATCCGCGGGGTCAGGGTCCAAAAACACATGAGATTTACCACATGTCTAAAATTCGGTGCCACCCCTCACGCAGATCCGCGGGGTCAGGGTCCAAAAACACAGGGGATTTGCCACATTTCTGAAATTCGGTGCCACCCCTCACGCAGATCCGCGGGGTCAGGGTCCAAAAACACAGGGGATTTGCCACATTTCTGAAATTCGGTGCCACCCCTCACGCAGATCCGCGGGGTCAGGGTCCAAAAACACAGGGGATTTGCCACATTCTGAAATTCGGTGCCACCCCTCACGCAGATCCGCGGGGTCAGGGTCCAAAAACACAGGGGATTTGCCACATTTCTGAAATTCGGTGCCACCCCTCACGCAGATCCGCGGGGTCAGGGTCCAAAAACACAGGGGATTTGCCACATTTCTGAAATTCGGTGCCACCCTTCACGCACATCCATCGCAAGGCGTGGTAACCCAAACTGCGAGAACTCCCTCGGCCCTTTAATCGCAAGGTGTGGGTTTTGCTGATTGCGAATCGGCTTCGCATGAAGTTTCGATACTGCTTCACGACAGCGCCAAGGCCTCATGACTTAGCTCTTCCATGGCCCATTCTCCGAGAGAGGGGGCCGGCGGCAGGGGGCGAAGCCATTACGGATAAAAAAATACTCAAACAGTCAAGAGAGCATGAGAAATCGTCCCCCGACTATTTGTGTACTATTCTCGAATACTCCTCCTGTAGAGGGGCATGCGGACCCTGGAAGAAGAAGAAGAAGAATATTGCTCGACGCGGAGGTCCCCATATGCGCATCTATCTGCCTGGACCTGTTGTCCGCTGCGAAGGTCTGCGAGAGAGTCTGGGCATGAGCGGGCCCGAGTAAGGGAGACTAAGAACGGGCGGGTCTGAGTGGAAGTGAGTCCGTGTGTGGGCGAGTCTGAGCGTGAGTGAGTCGAAGTGTATGAGTAGGAGTATGGCTAAGCATGTGGTAAATACATCTGAATGGGAGTGGTCTGGGTATTAGAGTGTCGGTGTGTGAGTTGTATGAGTGTGAGAGGCGTGAGTGTGAGTGTGAGTCTGATTGTGAGCGAGTACGCGTGTGAATTTGGACACATATGTAAAACACATAAGGTTCGAGACCAATAAAACACATAGGATTCGAGCCGCAGGAGAAGGGCAATCCATATGCACATACGTAAAACACGCAGGTGGGGTCGGCATGAGAACCTTCTGGGGCCGCCTGGGGCCTGCAGGGGGCCTCCTGGGGTCGCCTTGGGCTTCCTGGGGTCTCCTGGGGCTCCCAGGGCATCCTGGAGCCTCCTGGGGTCTCCTGGGGCCTGCTGGTGTCCGCTGGGGCCTGTAGGGGCCTCCTGGGGCCTCCTGGGGCTTACCGGTGCCTCCTGGGTTCCTGGCGTTTCCTGAAACTTCCTGGTGCGTCCTGGACCCTCCTGGCGCCTCCTGGCGCCTCCTGGGGGTTCCTGGGGCCTCCTGGGGTCTCCTGAGGCTTCCTGGGGCTTCCTGGGGCCTCCTAGGGTTTCCCGGAGCCTCCTGGGGCCTCCTGGGCCCTCTTTGGAGCTTCCTGGGGCTTCACCAACA